GGTGGCCAGTGTTGATGTTAGCCGCTGCCAGCTGGTAGTTGTTAGTAAATTATTTGGTCATAATAATGAATCACATGCTAAATAATCGCCCCAACAATGCTCGCAGCAGCAGAAAATTACTTTGATGGTGTGGTATGTGGCGTATAGAGTTTTTGGTTGTTATTATTGTTGGTCTTGGGTTGTCGGTCAATGCAATTCAAATTTGAAGTGCTTTGCGTAGCTACGTGCTTATATTTGAGTATGACTTGCTTGAGGGGACGCTTTCAAGTGTGAGAAGTCTGTGCGAGAAGGAGTATTATGCTCATCGAATAGTAATAGAAGAAAACACCGCTTGATTTTGGTAAAGCAAGGTTTGAAAAATTTCTACGTGCCGTTTTCTGGAAAACTGAACTAAATGTAAAATATGGCAAATCAATGCGGTCAACAATTGCCTGCCGAGAGGACTATTTTTTCTAATTTAGTTGTTTTCCCCGCCTGGGATGAAACCCAGATCCTGCGAAATGGGGATACGTTGGTACCTCTAGCCACAGCGGCCATCGCTCGACAAAGAAAAAATTAAACATACAAACTTTAAGAATGAGATTAAAAAGCTGAAGATGCAGATGATGGTGACGAAGATGAAGATAGAGATAGAGATAAAGATAAAGATACAAATATAAAAAAATTACAAAACAAAACAAAGACAAAGAAAGGATAAACCAATAGGTAAATTTTAGATAGATTAATACGAAGGCAAAGACAAAGATAAAAATAAGGATAAAAAATAAGGATATGTATATATAGGTAAAAGTGAAGATGCAGCTGAAGATAGATATAAAAATAAATATTAATTCCTTTCTGGAATTTTTTGTTGAAGCTTCACTTCTTCCGAGCGCTCGAGCGTAGGGAATTTACGCACTCAGTTTTTTATTAGAATTTTTTCCATTTGATTTTTGTATAAAACCCAATTCCTTGAACTTCACATTTTTTCATATATTTTTTTCGGAAAAGGTTTATTTTAGAAAATACATAAATTTTGTAAGAAATCTTAAGTTATATATGTACATACATATATTTTTTGAATAGCTGCTTAAACAATGTATGTAAGGAGTGTGTTTATACAAAATATTTACAACAAATGCAGTTGAAACCGCCAGCGTAAATCTGTAATTATTTTCCAATGCAATCAACTTACCAAGCCGGTGTCAGTCGGTCTCCACAGACATTCAAGTAATTTTCTGTGCATTTTTCTTTGTAACCATTATCACATTATTGCAAAACGCTGTTTGCCAAACTGTCGCTTGTCCACCACTGAGGAATTTTAACTAACTTCAAAGACAATGTTCAGATATTCAAAGAAAAATATACTTACATATGTATGTTTGTATGTATGTAACTGGTAGTTACATGTGTATTGCTCTAGCGAATGACATCAGTATGAGGCATACGAAACCTGCAATCAAACGACACCAGTTGCATATGGGAATGCAGGCAAACCCTGTAGGTAAACGAACTAGTGCGGAACTGGTTCGGTTCTAGTGCGTTTGGAACCATGACTAGTGCGCGTTAATTCTCTTTTGCATGCTAGCGACTGGCGAATTTAACATTGCGATGTCCTAGGAAGTGTCAATTGTACCCCGTTGCATCCCTTTGGCTCTAGTTCCGAACCAGTTCTAAATTCGACAGATAAGATCTAGTCCGTTTTGCATCCCTTTTTCTATAGTTCCGAACCAGTTCCAAATTCGAATAATAATTCATAAAATAATGATTAAATGCTGATTTAAATTATTTTTCTCACAATGATTACCTTCCCTGCGTTTAAAATTTGAAATAAAATAGTTTAGTGAAAGTACCACATTTNGTGTGACTAGTTACTATCGTTTTTGGCGAAAAAGAACTAGTACTGAACTAGAAATTTGGTTCACTAGTTCGTGTTTTCCCTACAGGGAACATACAGAGATGCGAGTATATATATATGTATATGTATGTATACACAGCTGCATGCTTGTTTACATCGGTTTGCAAAACTATTTTTGTTTTCCTCTGTAACGCCGACCAAAAGCCAAGTGACACCATTTACTGCCTTACTAGTTGTGTTTTGTGTTGTTTTTTTAGTTCATAAGCGACAAACATGTGCATAGTTTTTCATTTAAAATTTTCAACAGCATTTTGCAGATTTTTAAATATTTTACATTTTTGTTTTTATTTTGATTTGTATTCAATCGCCGCACATTGACGCAATCATTCACTTCCTTACTCGCTTTGCCACTCAATATTTATCTCGTAGCCCCATCGGCCAGCAGCACTCTCATCAGTTGCTGTACCAGCGCGCGCCATTCCATTGCTAGTCAACTCCTGCCTTCTGCCCACCTTCCTATCTACCCAGCCACCAGTCATCAAGCCGAGCCGATCTGCTTAGCTAAAATGGCTTAAAAATAAACGCGGAAAGTGGGTTGTTGTGTTAACTTTGGAGCTAAGCCTTCAATCGCGGGGGGGGAGGGGGGGGGACGACAGCCCGGCAGTAAGGCAGGCGTTTGAGCGCACACTTTGCACTGCCACTTGTTGTTTTTTCCGTGTTTTTTTTCCCCTATTTGTTATTATATATGTATGTACTTAGTTTCAGCTGCTGCAAGGTGGTCGCCAATTTTGGGCATTCGCTGATAAACCCGTTAATGGCTGTCTGAGTTTTGCAATTTTGGTTGCATTAGAAAAATCCACATCGACAACAGCCAACAGCACAGCTCAGCGCGCCTTTTATTGCACTTTGCCTTGCTGCTTATTGCAATCTATTTGATTGCTCGTGGGCTTCCTTGTAAATGCAATCTATTAAGTAATATATTTATACACATACAAACATATTTATGTAGATGGTTGCGACACTTTTAAGTGCGATTGCGAATTATATAATTTATGTGTTCAGCTTTATTGACAGTTCATTCGATAAACTACGCAAATATATGCATGTACATGAAAATGAATTTTTAATTTTAATATTTGTACTAAATATGTATGCATGCATGTAGTATATTTGGTAGGGGATCACTTTGTAATCTGGTTTAGACTTAGACTGCACTGTTTTCCGGCAGATTAACGAATTAGTTGATTATATTCCTAACTGCGTGCGTCGATATGTACATAAATACTTATTTAAATCTAAGTATAAGGGGTGCCTCTATAGGGCTTTTTTCTGTGGAACCTGAGGCCACTAAAAAGTTCAGATTTTTCTACCGAAAATGGGCCTGTTCGAGGCACGTAATAAAAGCGGCATTACTGCCGTACTGATGAAAAATGGCAACATTGTTGCAACTGCCCAAGTAATAATACATTGCTAGAAATTCATACAGAACGCGATACTTTAATAATTCGCGCAACACTGCGGTCGCCAGCGACTAAAATATGATGTCTCTTTGACCCAGTCACAGAAGCGGAGAAAGTCGTTTAAGAAATATTTTGTTCGTAAATACAAATAACCACCCTACAGTCAACGGTGGTATGCAAGGATGCCAGTGATGATCTTTACTCAAAGTTTTCTTTGGGTGATTGACTAGAAATTTAAAACCCCTTAAACTGTATTACCCTAATACCAGTGGCCAGTACTGTTCTCGCATTGCCTTTTGGTTGTAGTTTAACTTATTGTCAGATAGGTCGTTAAGACTGAGCAATATGCTATCAGTTAGATTAGCGGACTGCCGCCGTAGATGGAGACCCTCGTAGACGATTAATTCTTTTAAGTCCAAAATACAACAGCGCAGTTGCCTTCATGCAAAAACTAGGAATAACTGTTACACATTTTGCGTTATCGAACGGGGCTATTGTGTGTCGCACATTTTCTAAAAAAAAACAGCTGATTTCGAAAAATTGCCACTGCTACTGCACTATGTGTTGTAGTTTGGGCTTTACAGCCGCAGAGTTTTTCGGGATGGGAGTAGATCGAAGAAAATCTTGAAAGGTTTATATGCTCACGAAGCCTCCATTCTCAATTTTTGACGGATTTTCCAGGACATTATCTGATTGGACTTCAGACGATGAGACTAATTATCGTAGACGGTGTTGTTCTACATTAGCTGTCGAGGGCGGCAAAAGGATTTATGTTAACCATTCCTCACAAGCCGTTCAGCTATAGTGAGACTGAAGTATAATCATCTTGGAGGGCAATTCTTAAAGAGCTCAGATAAACAGGCTGAGAAACTACCTTAAATCCACTTATCTTAAGATTTTAACTGACTTTTACGTGATATTAGTTAATACATTTGTAGGAGTTCTTACATATTCTACATGCAGATAATGCCGGAAAATTATGTCAACTGGTTCTCGGAATAAATTTTGTCAGGATTCCCAAGTATTTCAGTGATGGAATGTCGAATACCTCCACCTGTCATCTAAGGTTTACGATTGCAAAGATTTCTTTAATAATAATTTGTATACTTAATCTAACTATTAAATCTGTATTGTATATATGTATTTACATACTGTACGGAATAGGAATTTTATATGGGTAAAATTGGCCTTTGGGCAGCCTCCACTAAAATTTTCGGTGATCGAGCGCGGATTGGTTGCCCGCACAATAAATACTATTTACTCATCTGGTCAATACCTTCTTTTTTTCTATATATCGACTGCTCTAATCAGCATTTGAAATTAAAACAGGTTTTTATTTTGTTAACTTTTTACTACAATAGAATTTATTTAAAACTAATTTTATAAGTATTATCTACGTTTCATATAATTATTGATTTTATTTGTGTTTCATTACAGAACTGCTAACGATTTATTATTTCCCTTAAGATTTCTTTTTGTTTAAATACATACACATATTCATTTAAATATTTAGTACGTTTGTATGTATTTATCTCCCTGTGTCACAACGCTCAGACCTTTCCAATTACAATTAACATTTACAGGTTTGCTTTAGTTTTTTATTCTTTTAATTGTAATGTAATTTTCATTAAAACTTTTTTTCTTCTATTATTTTTCGTATTAATTTTAAGTTTAAAGTTGAACTCAGGGTTATGGTTTCATTGATTCATACATGGTGCTGTGTTGTTGTTGTTTAAGAATTTTTCGTCAGAGTTTCACTAGAAGTACAATACAATACAATACAATACAATACAATACAGTACAATAGAGTTTAATTATACAATACAATATCAATTAGTAATTAGTAATTAGTAAATATTAATTATCATTACAAAATACATTTATGATTAAGTGTGATTTTATGTATAAAAATAACATCATTTTCTTCTTAAATTTCGTCATTCATCTAAATATAAATATGTAAATACATAGATGATTAGTAGCACATTTTGTTGTTTTGAGAATTTACGAATAAGTAGTGGAAAATGTAGGCAAACAAAGAGATTCATACGAGTAAAATATTTGCGTTAAGACAATAAAATTACATTTTGAATTAGCTGGAAGAATTGAATAAAATACTTAAACTTATAGACTTTTGTTATTGAAAATAAAAACAAGCAAAAAAAAAATTGGCGATTGAATTTGTAAATGTAAACTTCTCTAATAAATTTAGCGCCTAAAAATATTTTTCAGATAAAGTGTATGCAATCAAACAAAATTTTTCTAACAAAGTGCAAATGCAAACTTTCCAATTGAACTTACTTGAATTAATTTCCGTTGACAACATTACAAACAAAATTAAGCTAATTTAAAAATACATATCTTTAACGCATAAACATGTAATTACACGAAAATAAATTATTCGAAAATCCGAACAAAACAGGAATTGACGAATTCGTTTTTTTTTTTTTAGCTATAAGTTCTGTTTCAAAAAGTGATGTGCGATAACTCGAAAACATATTCAAATATTTAATTTAGTATAACAAAATTTAGCTCTACTATCGCCTCTAACATTTCCAAATTCAATTAATAAGCAATTTTGCACGCCTCAAAGTAGTTAGTCCCAAAATCATTAAAAAAAAAAAAAATCATCTTGAAGTAAAATTTATTTAAATTAGTATTTGTATGGCTCGAAATTGAGCTGAAAAAAAAAATATTTGCTTCTGTTGTGGTTGTTGTTGTTATTTTTGTTGTATGCGCGGGTGCTGTGTTTTATTTCTTCATATATTTGGTTTCCATTCCCACCCCCCCTTCGACAGCCTCATCTATTTCAGCTCGCTCGCCCGTTGCTGGCGCAGTTTCGCTCGCGCATTCAAATATTCTGGGTTCACATATTGCTTGTCCTCCTCGTCCTCGCCGCCGCCCTCTTGGCGCTCGTGCTTCTGCGCACGCTCCATTATCACACGATTCAATTCAGCTTTAAGGCCGGCGGTGGGTGAGAGATCCTCCTGATGCTGCTGTTGGCGTTGCTGCCGTTCGCGTTGTTTCTCGTAGGCGCGCTGCAGCTCCGATTTTTGATTCAGCACACTTTTGCCGCTGTTGTAAGGAGAGAGAAAGAAAATACAAATTCAAATTTTTTGGTTTCCGTTACTACTAAAATCATACATATGAACGTCATAAAGTCGATATTCCCTCAACGAGGTATGTATTCTCGAAAGCTATGTTTCCAAAGTGTGGGATGAACCTTTTTAAAGAGTCGAAGAAAGAAACTCTTGGTTTTACCTATCTAAATGAAGTATTTTTTAAAGCAAAACCTCACACCTGAACAATCAGTTGCAAGAGGGTTCAAAGCAGCAGTGACCCGATCTTGCTGAATTTCACTCTAAACCTTTTAATAATTATAAGTAAGCGGGCTTTGCGATCCTCTCGATACGAACAAATGATTAAAGACGTCCATATACTAAATTTCCTATCTTTAAATCTAAGCATCCAACCCGTCGGCCAGATAATTTTGTTAAAACTTCTTCTCGGGCTGACAAACATCGGTTAGTTATAAAATCATGTAAAGTTCAGGAAAAGTATAATCTTTAATCCACTGTGGAAAGCTTTCCGGTGGTTTGACTATCACAAATGGATTATTAAATTGATTTATTTTGGCTCGAAAATAGGTGTTCCACCGCGTCATATAACCTCTAAGGAATGGAATTAAATTCAAAATTCTCGCAACTTACACTTTGTTATTGAACTTCAGCTCACGATGTAGCTGCTGTCGTTCGTTGGACTCTAGGCAGGGATTTATCAGCTTTCTGGGTAGTATTAGACCGTCGGCGTCTTTTTGTACTCCGGGCGGTGGCGACGACATCATCATTGTTATTGTTGTTGTACTGCGTTCGCTCGCTTCGAGTGCACTGCTAATCGCTTGGCGCTTCTGTTCAAACCACTCTTGGCCAGCAGCGTTCGATGTGGATCCAGGTTCCCGTAGCACAACCTTTTCCGAGGTGATGGATGTTGTCAATACTATGGGTGAATGGGTAGCCGATGCGGCAGATGTTACCGTTGTTGAACGCTTTTTCGGACTGTCACTATTGGAAGCAGATGAATCGGTGCCTGCAAGATTGGAAGAAAAGATGAGGGAAATAAATAAGTACAAAAACTTGAAGAATTAAGTGTCACAGTTTAGCATGAATGGTTTATATTTTTTTCGTGCTGCTTGAGGAGTCGAACCGGCAACTGCACAAAGTAGTTTTAAAGCTTCATTCAATTCTACAGACGCACTGGAATGCGAAGTGGCCAGACAAATGGGACAAAGGCAAAACAAGTGACCAACGGATTAGGCATTGCGGTCTTGCTGTTGACTTGAGTGGATACTACATATTTGCCCCATATGAATACTAATAAAGTAAGAAACTAAAAAAAAATTTAAAAAAAAAAAAACACATTCGAACAATATGCAGTGCCAGTGACCGTGCGCCTGAAGAAAGAGCAGAAGAAGCAGAGCTAATCAATATTGGAGTCAATGATTTATGACAAAAGCGAAAATGACCAAACGAAATGTAACAAATAGCAATTTTATGATTTTTTCTTTCTGCTTGTTGTTAGTCTTTCCTTTGTTATTGTGACTTATTTTTATGTTTTAGTATTTTTTCCATTTTTATTTGAAAGCATGCTCACAAAACCGCTTCACACGGTTCATTGTGTGTACAAAAATGCCAATTGCCGCCACTTGCCATTCAAAGGCCCACAACAATGGCCAATTGCCACAAGCGACGTCCATGAGCAGTTCAGCCATTGTCCATTGCGAGTAGTTTCGTTGAGATTAAATAGAATTTATTTAAGATATTTATTGAAAATACAAATAATAAAAATTAAAATTAGTAGTAAGATATGCCTCTCTTAGTTTTTGATATCTAAATTAGTTCATGTTTCAGAGAAGTGTCTAATAGAGTATTTTTTTTTAATTCTTCTGGTACAAAATGCCATTCGCATTACCTTCTGTTTCAGGAGAATTTTCACATTCGAGAAGAGGCAAGAGACATCTTTTCGACTCCTCCCCAACCACTGCAGCGAATATCAAGCGGAAATGGTAGCTTTCCAGAAGGCATTTCGGAGCCAAGCTGAACGACTTACAAGTTTTCATCTTTTCTGAAAGTCATGCAGCCCTTAAGACGTGGGACCGAGAACAAAAGGTATGATTAAAAGTAAATGTCGTTCTCGTAGTTTTGTTCCCAAGAACGCTTCAAAAACCGTACCAAAATGAGAAAAAAAAACATCCGGGAATATTTTAACAAGAACGAAAGTGATAACAAAGCTGTTGAGAACGTCTCCAAAGAGAACAAAATGCCAACAATAACATCTGGAACCTTTCCAATAAAACAAATTTGGAACAAAAGTCACCGGAACGTTCTGGCAAAGAACAAAACCGGAACGAAAGTTTAAGGAACTTTCCGACAGAGAAAACAAAAATGCGAACAAATCTCTCTGTACTATTATCGAAGAATTGAATCGTTCGCGGCTTTGTTCTCATTTTATTTCCGCTCGAACTGTCCTCAATACTTTTGTTCCCGTTTAGTTCTCTTGTGGGTACATTCTTGACATTATATTTTGTTTCATGCAGAACTAAACCAAAACTGTAACCCGTTATCGGTCGCTGCTTGAAACTATATACAAATGATCTAGTCATTCCTCTTAGTAAGCTCTGGTTGGATAGAAAAGGTACGACCACCTTCATCCTTCTTGGAAAGAGAGAGACTGGAATTGATACCATGATAATAATATTTGGGCAGACGCTTTGGCCATTTTGTACTCTTTGTACGACCTCTGTACGCTACAGGTTATACACACCCTCGACGGCTTTTGCCGCTGAAAAAACTCTGCGGTGCCATCAACTAATTACTTTAGGGAGTTTGGTTTGGTACCTGAGAAGTGCATGTGCACTAACTGAGCCTTCTACGAGTACAAATATTAATATTTCCCTTCACCTAAAGAAGCCAAAGTTCGTAATTTTCCGCCCAACAAAGAATTAGAGCCTGTTCGTGGTTATCAAAAGAACAAAGGAATTTTCTAACTATTTGCGCCATTGTAAACGCAAAACATACTTCACTACGTTGTAGACATAGAAAATGCAGCAGCCATACCAAAAGGAACTTATGCGCTTAACTCGCATAAAAGCGAAAAGCACAAATATGCGACCATAAATAAAGCACATAAAAACAGCAACAAAACCTCGAAATACAACTGAACTAAAAAAAAAAGAAAACTAGAACATCAAAGTTCTTATTTTTTTATACTTTTCTGCTCGCGCAACGCAACGCATGCGTTTCTCGAAAACACTCACCTTTTTCGCCACAAACGCAAAATACGAAAGTTAAAGATTCTTACAAGTGTATCTTACACAGATTAAGGTTAACAAGAGTAGTAGGTGTCGACTGTGGCAAGACGATTAAAATATTTATGTATCAGCAAAGAATACAAATGGGCTGAACGCATGAACGTTGTGCCAAAACGAGTACTCGCAAAAGAAAAAAAAAAATAAAATACTTTTAGAGTTTTGTTTGACGTCACCGCTTTCTTCAAGGCATACCGCAAGTAGTTCTCTGACCTTATAGAGACGATAAATGGTAAGCAGCATACAGACGACATGCTTCTCAGTCAAATCAAACCGCACCTAAAATCATGGCATGCGAAGCGCTTTCTTTTACGGCCTCATCGTAACCGGTAAGCGGAAAAACGGGCCCTTCTGCGAAAACACCTAACAATAAGCCACCTGTTGATGGCAGTGCGGTGGAAGGCAGATCAAAAGAGACAACGGCAGCTAAGAAAAGGTATCAACCGCAACAATTGCCTCCGCTTTTGTTGCCACTATTGCAGCTGTCATATTAACCCAAATTTCCACGCATCAAATTGGTGTTCAGTGAGCTCAACGGAAAGAATATTTATTTAGCAGCCTTAAGAACGAAGTAGCAAAAGAAGGCAAAGGTTTAGGTACACAATTACATACATATGCGTGTAAGTACATATATATGTATGTATGTACATTAGACTGTGTTGAATTAAACGAATGTTTTTTTTCTTTCGGTCCCGTATGAAAACTTCGTTGTTGGTCACAAAAAAATAATTGTGGCTAAATTTCAGCCCCATATCTTAATTTTTTAGTTAGCGCTCACAAAAATAAGAATTTTTAATGAAACAATTTGTTTCCGCTTTTTTTTTTGATAAACAAAATATGTATACAACAAAAAAACACCAAAAACAACTTGGTAGCCCATTCAATTCCAGTATAGTAAGTGCAAGTTTTGTTGAAGGTTTCGCTAATTTTTTTCTGTATAAACAAGTCGTCGAACACACTTTGTATGAAAGATAATTACTGAGATCGTCAACAAAAAAAAAATGCCAAAAATCAACCGTAAGTCCTAGCTAATTCAAAGTTGCACTTGCTATACTAGAATTGAATGGGCTACAAAGTTGTTTTTAGTTTTTTTGTTGTTTTTTATAATTGTTTACTAAAATAAATAGCGGAAACAACTTTTTTTTCGTTAGGAATACCTATTTTCGCGAGCGCTAGCTGACAAATGAAGATGGCGGGCTGACATTTTGCCCCAATTATTATTATTTTTTTTTTGACCGACTACGAAATCTGCATACGGAACCGAAAGGAAAAAAAAACATTCGTTTTATCTGACACAGTCTAATGTAATGAGTGTATATTTAGTACTTAGTATTCATAAAACTAAATAAATAAAGAATCGAACAAAAGCCGTCTAAATTAGTTGTCATTGAGCATTCGCATCGTTCACGTTCATCTCGAATTATTTGCGCCCTTTTTTTTTGCTTTCTTCTCTCCTTAATGAACAAATTGAGTTTAAAAGTTTCTACTAATTTTTTATTCTGCCAATTAAATATTGTGCTCGAAGCTCCGACAACGTCACCGCCAACTGTTACCGAATCGTTTTTGTTAATGAGCTATTCGCAAAGGCGAGTCAAGCTGGCTAAAATGGTAAAAACGGCCAAAAACGGGACCGCAATAACACTCAACAGACGCTTGCTTGCTTGTCTCTACAAACTCATTCGGTCGGTTTTAGTAGATTTTTTTTCGAAATGTTCTTTTTTGTGTTATTTTTTCGTTTTGGTGAAATTTAGCGCACACAACTCATAGAGCACTCGCAATTGTATGCCTTTATTTGGCGCTTGTTTACAACCTGTTTTTGGAGTTCTACTTTGGCGCTGACACAAAGCTCATAATAGGTTTGTTCGTCGAGCAAAAAATTTGTACGAATTTGTACGAATTATCACGATTTTTGCCCAAATCGCGTTCGTGCAGACCAAAAAATTATCCAACACTCAAAAATTGTGAGAGCAAAGTGACAGTTCTCTTGGAGAGAAGTTGCAAATTCTTGCTGGAAAAAATTTTGCCAGCAAGAATTTGCAAACACGAAAAACATGTGGTTGTGGCGCATGGTTGCATTTTTGTCTACAATAATTTGAATAAATTAGTTCGTTAAATTTAAAAATTTATAAACACGAGCGATTTTTTTATGAAAAAAGGAAGTAAATAATTGTTGATATAATTAATTTAGTTAATTCCAATGATTTGAACTTAATTCGGCTGAAAAAAATGGTATTCGCAATCGGAATGCAATTGCAACCAGAGTCGATTTAAGAAACCCGACAGCTAGTACGATGAAGAAATTGAAATGTATGTTAAAGAAAGTCAGAACAACAAGAAATATACATGTATATCCTGTTTTTGGCCATCCGAAAGAATTTTAAAAATTCCATAAAAATTTTTTATGTTTGAAATGCAACCGTGGACGCCAGCTGGCAGCGAAACTTGCAAATTCCTGCAAATTTGCGTTCGTGCAGAAATTTGCAAGTTTCTCAACATGAGAGAGAATTTGAGAGAATTTTTTCTTACTCTCTGATATTTTGAGTGTTGGATAATTCTTGCTGGATTTTCGACGAACAAACCTAATGTCTACAATCATTCATAGCTTTGACCTATTGAGCAATCAACTAAGCCGCTAAAATAAAACAAATATAAATTGCATACAAACGAACCGAAAAATAACAGTAAAGAACCCTTCAATCGGAATGCCTTCAGAATTGACTTAGAAGCACTTCTATAACTTTTTATACAGCACGCCAAACAATACTGAATGCATATCGTCGGTTAAAGTGCAAAACCGCGTATGTGAAGTTGTAGAAATTATTTTCTAAAGCGTAAAAACACTCATATTTCAAAATGGTTCTCTTTTTTATAAAGCAATCGCATATCGGCCTAGTATATTTCAGGACGAATGGATAAGGATTGAGCCAAGAGCTTGTGTGAGCAAATCCAATTTTTGGCAGCCAATGTCAGTTACGCGGTTTTGCAGAATGACGATACGCCGTTTTGTACTTTAAACGACGATATGCATATGTATATACATATAGTACATATGTAGTATACCTGTACACATACACCCTGCAGGGAAACCTGAAAGCCAAATTTCTGGTTCAGTGCTAAATCTTTATCGCCAAAAACGAAACAGTCCGATAGTAACTAGATCCTCCTCACGGGTTCAAAAGCAGCGAAATGTGGCACTTTTACAAAATTATGTATGGCATTTTACATATCGCTAGCGAAGAGTAAAACGTTGCTAAGTTCACTTGTTCCAAATAACTATATTTTGACACAAGTAGCAAGAACATTTAAAAATGCATCGTTTTCGAAAAAACCTAACTACCTATTTTATTCAAGAATGATAGAATACAAGATTGCAGCAGAATTCGTGAGAGTAATTTTGGCGTGACGTCACCGTATAGTTGACAACTGAGAGCGGCAAATAAAACTGCTGTCTACTGATGTGCTGAATTGTCGGTACCCAATACTTAAAAAAGGTTTCGGTACCCAACACTTCCTTATCGGTACCCGATACTGATTCTTTGCATTAAACCTTCGCCATTGTTGTCATAAAAATATGTCATATCATACATTAATAAAACGGATACCGATTCGAAAATTGTCGCTTACTGGTTACCGAATCTGTCGCTAACTCATTACAGAATCTGCCTACAAAAATGATATTGTCCGATTTTGCTGGAACAAAAATGCTTCAAACAAGTAAGAGTTTCTCCGTATTATGGCCTCGAACCGACATATATACATCTTTCATTTGAATCAGTATTAAAAGCTCTATTGGCTTCTACATTCGGGTTTTGATAGGCGAGTATCCCCTGAAGCGTTTTTTCCATATATTTGGCCTATGTGCGCTTTTATTCGAAACCTAAATGTTTCGGTACCGAGTATCGGGATTATTGGATACTTAAAAGTACTGACTCAGCACATCACTACTGCTGTCATCTCGACTGTGACGTCAGCAAAACAGCTGATTCTGTCAAATTTCCTGAGAGCCGATTAGCGGTATTGCCATCGGCGCCACCTTCTGTATTCTCTCCACCGTGTATTTTATTCCTAATCGTTTCTATTCACTGATAAGCAAATTTACTATGTCCAAAATAGTTACAGAAAATGTGATAAGTCCCAAAGAACAAAACAGCTTTTCATTAGAAATTTATATCTGGGGTGCCGAGTTAGGAACTGGTTCAAAACTATCGAAAAATGGATGCAGCGGAGGCACCAAGCTATAACTATTTTGTTTACTTTAAATTGGTGGTGGGCTAGGATGCAAAAGAGAATCAAACTGTACTAGTGATGGTTCTAAATTCCGTAGTACCGAGCCAGTTGGGCACTAGTGCGCTTTCCCTTCAGGGTATGTATGTAGAAAAAAAACAAAGGGCTACCATTAGTAATAACGTTTTGTTAATTTCAGTCTCAGTAGTTTCGCGATGATACGGTTTGTTTGGCACCTAAAAAGGGGTTAATTGCTTCAAAGCGATACATAAATACATAAATATGTGCACATACATACATACATATGTGTGAACGTATTTAAGTGCTTTTTATGGCGCGCGCACACTCATTAAAGTTTCTCAAGCAGAAAGTTGATCTTGAAGACAGATTTCAAGTAGCTGGCTTTATAAATTATATTCTGAAATCAGCTGCTAATATGTATTTTTGCACTTCTGATCATTGTTGTTTAGAAAAAATTTATACTATTTTAAATAGTATTGGTGTCTTTCACACAAGTAGTCTACAGAGTTTATATTCACAACGAATACTTTCATCTAAACTAGACACATATCTGAGGTTTTCCAGTGGATACTATAAATGTGTATTTTTTTTTCAAAAATAAAGACCCAAACTAGCCTCTTCTTTTTTGGCCTGTTTCTGATTGCAAGAAAGGAAAAAATGTTAACAAAATTTCTTGAGATTCTCATTTCCCTTAGAGATTCATCGAGAATCGGGCTGTATATCGTTAGATATTGCCACTGCTGCCGGTATTGGGTTCGTCAGTTGGTTCAAAACAAAGTAAATTTAATAAACCATTTTCCACTCTTTTTTATATGGGAAAATCTTTTTAGCCCGCGTAACTAATATTTTTAATTTCTACTCTACTTAAACCTGATATTTAAAATTGTTAACTACCAGACCGGTCAAGTTTGATTTGAGAAAAAAAAAATTACTCAACGTCAAAGGTCACGTAAATTGATTTCTACCATTTTTCAGCTAAACGGTAAGGTTTATCATAAAAATGGGTTAGACAAAAATGTAGATCATCATTATTTCTAAAAACCGTTATGACACTTTTGTTCCTAAGAATCACCATTTCTGGAATACAACGACGCGATCGATACCCGTATTGTAATATTCCATGGAGGTGCCACACCTCTTTTTCTAATCGAGATAAAAGTTATACTTTATTTTAAATTGGGCTAAATGGCACCAGTGTGCGATCGTTATGATCAGTTGAGAGTCTATATTAGCTAGGATTATCCAGTACTGATCATTAAAATAATTTTTACACAGACTCAAATACACAAACACAAAATATTACACCAGCGCAAAAATCCGCATCTCAAAAGATTTCCCCATATAGAATGGAATGTGACACACACACATACTTCGATACAAAAAAAACAAAAACTCACCCTCACAATTCAAGGTTGCAATTTCACTGCCAAATATCGCACAACCTTCGCACACACACACACACACACATTCTATGTTATGAGACAAGCCATTGTGTTAAAGCTTCCCCCTTTTTTGAGGCAATCGATTTAATTAAAAAGCGCCGCGTTGCAGGGGTTTGACGCTGCAGTTGTTGCCCACTGTTTCAACAAAAATTCTAAGTGCTTTGGATGAACTCGAAAATATACACAAAAAAAAAAAAAATCGTTTAAACTCGGCTGTTAATTTTACCCGCTGTCGACAACCATTTTTCGTAACTATAGCGATTTTAATACCGCAACAGCGTAGATTTAACTATCTATAAAATATAATGCAAAGCAGAAAGAAATAAAAAATAAGTAGTGAAATTTATTTCGTAATAAAACAATGACAAGCCGAGTGGATACGAAAAGAGACAGCGACAAAAGGTAACCCATGAATGAAAGCTGGCCAACTATGTAATGCATTTGTGTTGAAATTAAAAAAATAAAAATAAAATAAATAGCAACAACCACAACAGCGACAACACCAATAATTTCGGATTTCGGATTTCGGTTACGACAAAACAAGCCAAATTGGCTGCACTCACTTTCGAAAACTCGCATGCGACTCATTATGCCGGACGAGATGTGCGTGCGACTCATTTTAATAGGCTTTAGCCGCGTTATTGTTTTGAGCCAAACACTTGAAAGCGATTTAAATTTTTATGTTTTATCAGATACCGCCGCTCAACGACTTTGTTATAATAGATACTTGGAGTGTCTCAAACTATTTTCGCTGCGGCAACTTGCTGCTCCGCAGTGTCTTAATTAAGCGCCAGCTGGCTGCTGTTATCAAATCATACACACTGGCTTTTCTTTCAACACTTTTTTCGCTGCTTCAATTTTAATGGCACAAAAATTTTATTTGTTTATTTGGCGCCGATGCTAATGCAATGCAATTACACGCCTGCTAAATAAATTGCTCCCGTGTAGCGAGTTGCTATGTAAATAGTTGCTGCTGCGTGCCGCGTGCTGGCCGCCCGGCTCTGTGCCTGCCGCTGTGCTGTCGATGCAGATCGATTTTGCTAACTGAATTAAGAAACAAGTTTAATTGAATTTGAGCGTTCGTTAATGTAAATTCAGGGATTTATTTTGTTTCCTTTGCTTTTTTATTTTCTACCGCTGTGTGGAACACCAACGAAGCGTTGCATTTGAATATTTTAACTAACTAATCAATTCGATTGCCTATTTGGCAGCCCACTGTCGTCGCGTTGCCTGTAACTTTGCCACTGCCATCGCCGCTATTCTCGGCACTGCCGCGGCAGTAGGCGCTAACAAGCTTCCTTTTATTTTAATCGTTGGTTTGCCGTGTTGCCCCCACTTGTCATTGTCACACGCTGACATTTTGTTGTTCCAATTGTTACTATCTGCGCTATACTTAACTCTTATTTCACTTTATTCTATTTGCAGCTTTTCTATTTTTTTCTTTTTCCTTTACTCGGGTTTACTTGTGCGCCTTGCACTTATGCATTACATAGGCTTTCTCATGTTTTCACTTTTCACATGTCTGCCCATTTAGCCGCCTGACACAATGCTGGCCAAAGTCACACTTAAACACGGCCGAAAGGCGCCACATGTTGCCTCTGACTGGCGCAGCGATGCCAAGTCACAGCTAAACGAATGCTGGTGCCCGCCTCTGTGCCGCGCGCTGTTGCAGAAAATGTTGCAAGTTGTAATGCGCTGCGTTGTGGCGCTGTGGCGCTTCACCTACCGTCAAGGTGGGCGCAAAAATCGATAAACAAATGGCAGCGGCAGCAGCCTCATGCTCCAACAATAGTTTATTTTGGGGTCTTCTTCCCTTTTATGCATACAGCGCATCTGCGCACTGTGGGGCGATTTGGTACCTATTATGACCAAAAAAGTCAAATACCAGTAAGTACTTTTTTGTTTTTCCGTTGTTTTATCGGGGGCTGAACAGATTTCACAATGATATACAAAATCTTTGAACAGATATACCTCTTACCGGAGGCATTAAGCAACTCTATTATCTACACCAAGATTAGAGATCCAATAAAAAATACCTCCAACGTAATAAAGGTCTACCTTGCCGAATGATGATTAGCTCTCCCATCCCTCAAAGGAGTAGGGCGCGAAAAGTTCGAAACATCTTCTCCGCAGTAACGGGCGCTTGCATAAGAAGTGCGAGATGGACACTAGATCTTTCTCATCTCTACAGATTCTGCAGATATCTTTTATGAAGGCTTTTAATAGTCCGCTGACAAACCGAGCGATCGATTTGGAGAGTCAGTGTCGTAGAGCAAAATGCTATACAGAGAAGATATGTAAGTCCATCGTAAATTTCTCATCGTATAGTGTTTGTGCAATACTTCAATCGATCTATCTTTGCGGTAATCAAGTTGGGCAACGCTGTTATTCTATGTATGTGTAGAAAATTTGAAACTTTTCCAAGAATCTGGTAGGATCACAACTCTTTGAAAGGGATACATATTTATTCTCAATCCTTGCGGGCCTTTTGATTTTGATTCGAAGTCTTCACAAAATTTTGCCTACATTTCTTCTAAACCTCTCCTACTTGCTTCTTGAACGCACTGAAACTGTGACGGTATGCACCTCAGTCTTTTGTCTTCTTGATAATCTTTATTATAGCAAAGCTTAAAAGTAGTTATTTTGGAAAGTTGTCTTTTCATTGATCTACAAAAATTTTAAAAACCGGGCTTTCAATTAACAGCCAGATCTATTCGAAAGACCTGTTCAAAAGCATTGCAAATATTTTAGATTTCCCTAATTTTTACGCACTTAGATCACGGACATTTCACACTGTGCGTTAGCTGTAAATAAAATTGCACTATATTTAACAGCAGTTTCGCAACACTAGGGCGGAACTAGGTATGTATGCCCTGCGCATTTATAGCGCATTGCACGCGTTTGTGTTTGTGTATACGTAAGAATGCTTTGATTCGCTTGGCCTACTTTTAGGCACTGCATTTTCGAAATGCAACAACACAAAGCACAGGCATTTGTCGAGTCATTTTCAGCCTTACAAATAATCGGTTAATCCAGCAAAGGTATGGAAAACAGTAGACTTGTAAGTTGGAGCTTTAGGAGGGGGGGAGCAGATCGAAAGGGTGATTAAGGAGCCAGGCGCCACTTTAGCTGGAGAGTAGCTTAGTAAGTCATTTGATTGCGGTACGAGTATTTTTGGAATATTCATGTCAATAACTGCAGCAGTCAGTTTAAGTATTTATAAATATATTAGAGCATAGTCAGCAGGCAAAGGCGTATTTAGTAAATAAAATAGGTTACGAGCCTTATGCTGGCTCATGCTCGCAAATATCTACTGCAAGCTTTCATTGTGTGCAAAAGTTCTAAATAAGAGCTAATAGATAAAAATCTGTCATTAGGGCGATTATTTTTTAAACTCTAAGTGCATTTAAAGAGATGAGTGCACACGAGACTCCTTAATACAAATTTATTCAGTTCAGTGGAATTTGTATGATTTGAGTCGATAGTTATTTTAAGATGAGGGGGCTTGAAGATACTTCGAAATTCAATATAATTACAATTCTTTGGGACTTCGTGGGCAAAAATTTTCATTTATGTATTTAGGGAAGAAGAAGGCTCAAAAATAGTAAGTAATTGTGTGAACTGTCTGTGAAAAAGCTATGTATATGAAGTGGCTGAGAATTAGTCTTCTCGGATAGTCATACCTAAAACGGGTGATCTAGTGGACCTAGTGGATTTTCATCGAAAAAAAGGAGCAGTTAATATCCAATGCCATCAACGAGTTATTCGAGCTTGTGTCCGATTCCTGATCCGACCAATATCCAACAAGTTTTTGTAGTAGAGATCAATAACAAACGTCCAAGGGTATTGCTTCAAAGAAAAATCTGCGCATAAAAACACAAGCGCCTTTCGGAGGAGGTCGTATAGGTTCCTTCTTTTGTAAATAATTTTGTACAAAGAAAAGGGTTGCATTCGAACCAGAAATACATAGGGTCAAGTTGGTTTTTGATTTCGAATACTGATGAACCTTGAAGTTAATCATTTGTCCCACCAATTTCTTTCACATTCTTTATCAAACACTAAATTATCAAATACAAAATAAGTTCAAGCCTTGGGAAGAATCCATTACCAATATGTAAGCATAACAAATAATTCGTAAAAGCGTACTGATTGCCATTGCAGGAACAAAATCTCGGGGATGCAGCTTCGGTGGATAGTTTTGCAAAGTAAGAAAAATAATAAATAAATAATCTGAGTATGAGTAGAAAAAGTGGATTTGTAAAGAACACGCGCACACAACCACATTCACACACATACAAATCTGCACTCAAAGGTACGACCGCCAAAATTGTCAATGAGAAACCTTGACCTACATACACTGGCGCCAGCTGCATTAAAGCAGGCTCACAATAGCAATAACTACTAGCAGCAGCTGCTGCACATCTTCTCATACATGCGTCTGCATTTTTAGAAATATATGTATGTATGTACACACTCGTATAAAAATATTTGCTTGAGTGTATTTTGGGGCGACAGTGTAGGAGCCGACCGCATACTCTGCCCACTTTGTTGTTGGAATAATTGTTTTTGCTCGACCGCCGTAATTGCTGAGTTTTAATGTTGTTATTGCACTTACTATCCAGGTTTGTAGTCTAGTAGTTGGAAATATTGTTTTTGCAATAGTACATAGAAAAGTCTATTAGAAGTGGAATAGAGTGGAAAATATCGGTAGTAGCTAAACCTACAGGATATTTCTGCTTTCCTGGGCGAAATTGGCTCCATCAGGAAAATGGCCGCTGAACTATGAAAGATGAAACGGTTCAATGCACGAAAAGCTGGAGATTACAATATGGCTGTTGCCGGCTCATGAGTCACAAAGCAGACATGGCGGTGAGCAAAGGAAAACCTTGAATCAAAATCAAAAACACTGCTGAAGTAAAATGTGAGAGTATATTCACCTACAAACAAGACGAAATATGAAGAATTTAAGGACAAACGGAAAGCGCAATTAACGCAGAAGTCGATAGGGAGCGAAAATAAGTACTCAGGGACCTTTAACAAAACCAATCGACAGAAATAATGTTCAAGGTACTAAACTATGAATTTCGTAATAAGTATTTTATATTTTATTAATTACTGTGGGAGTAAAGTACTCCACCACAATCCCCTGATATGCAAGTTTATAATATGTATGTATGTAAACGTATACTACACACCCCCCATTTATCCCGAACATTTCCCCTAGTGTTACTCACATTGCATTACCTCCTGAAGCGTCGAAAAACTTCGCCCGCACTCTTAGTCTGAACATAGCTACATACTTAAGCGCACACACACTCAAAATCCCAAACAACTCCCTTTCCAACAGGCGAGCTTAAATCAGAGGTGCATATATGTACATACATACATACATACATACGTACATAGCTAGGCATGTGTGCTCTGTGGTTGCCGCTCTACTGACTCCATTTTCCCCAACTCAACACAATTTGAGTGCGAACGCTGCTTCAGCTGCTCTAATCTGGCGGCAGTGGTGGACTATAAATATTGGTGCGTTGGAGCCTAAACTCAAAGCTGAACAAACTCTAACTCAAATACTCCGTCTCAATTTAACAGGCGAACAAAATTATCTAAAAGAT